AGCTGTGTGCTGGGGGGCCCCCCTGGGCCCCTCATCTGCTGCTGCAGTTTGTTAGCAGCAGCAGCAGCAACAGCTGCAGCAGCAGCAGCAGCAGCAGCAGCTCTCTATTTCTCTCTCTCTTTTTTATTGTTGTTTGTCTCTTCTCTGACTGTCTCATGAGTCTATCTTCTTCCCCTTAAAGCAGCAGCAGCGAGGTTGGGTGTCAATCGAGCTCTTAGGGCGGTGGAGCCCTAGGGTTTAGGGTTTAGGGTTTAGGGTTTAGGGTTTAGGAGGATGGCTTTCCGCGCGTTGCTCTCGCAGCCTCAGCCCCAGGGCTGCGCTGCCTCTGCCGGAGACAGCACAATATCAGGGGTCTCAACAAACCCTTTAACTTCTTTCTTAAGTGCAGCTACACAAGATCCGCTCAGAACACAACAGGTAGGGTTTAGGGTTTAGGGTTTAGGAAAGGAGAGGGCTGGGAGTTAGGGTTTGGGAATTTGCTGTTTAGGGTTTAGGGTTTAGGGTTTTGGGTATAAAGGCTTTAGCCGTATATATAAAAGCCTAGCTGTTCGGGTTTGCTGTTTAGAGTATGTTACAAAGGGTTTGTTGTTTAGGGTTTAGGGTTTAGGGTTTAGGGTTTGGGGTTTGTTGCTTGCAGCTGACTGAGGGCTATGACTTGTCAGCACTCGAGAACCCTCTGGCAGGGCAGCAGCAGGAGAAGAAATATGCAGCAGCAGCAGCTGCTGCTGCTGCTGCTACTGACGCTCATGCCCCTTCGTTTGCTGCAGCAGCAGCAGCATCAACTGCAACAGCAGCAGGAAATGCAGCAGAGATAATATCGCCGCAGCCCCGTATGCAGGGGTTTAGGGTTTAGGGTTTGGGGTTTAGGGTTTACGATTTGGTGTGTAGGGCTTGGGGTTTGGGGTTTGTGGTTTAGGGTTTTTAAGGTTCAGGGCTTAGGGTTTAGGGTTTAGGGTTTAGGGTTTTGCGTCTTCTGTTGCTTCAGATGGCGTCGAAGAGCTTCTTGCTGGCAGCACAGCAGCAGCAGCAGCAGCAACAGCTGCAGCAGAAGCAGCAGCAGAAGCAGCACTCTTACGGGTGCCTTATATGAAGGAGTCCTTCTTCCATTCAGCAGCAACACAGCAGCAGCAGCAGCAGCAGCAGCATGCGGCCTCATCGTGGGCATCTGAGTTTCTTAGGCAGCAGCAGCAGCAGCAGCAGCAGCAGCATCGGCTGCAGCGCTTCGGCAGTGATGCGGGGCTGGTGCAGGAGTGGGCTAAGGTGAGAGACCGCTTGCTGTTGCTGCTGCTGCTGCTGCTGTTGGTGCTGGTGCTGCTGCTGCTGCTGGTGCTGCTGCAGTTGTTGCTGTTGCTGCTGTTTATTCCCCGTGCAGCAGATGCTCCTCTGTGGCTGTCTCTTCTGTTGCTGAGTTTGCTGCTGCTGCTGTTGCTGCTGTTTACCTTCAGGAGTTTGAGGCGCTGTCTCTGGGTGGCCCCGCAGCAGCAGCAGCAGCAGCAACACAGCAGCAGCAGCAGCTGCAGCAGCAGCAAACTCATTTTTTTGCTTCTCCTTCTTATATCTCGGGAGCACGAGAAGCTTCAGAGCGGTTTGCTGCGGGGGCCCCACCCTTTGGGTTGCAGCTGCCGCTGCAGCAGCAATTCCCTTACCATATGCTGCAGCAGCAGCAGCAACAGCAACAGCAACAGCAACAGCAACAGCAACAGCAGCAGCAGCAGCACAGTGAACAGCAGCAGCAGCAACAACAAGAGCAAGAGGAATCTTCACAACCGGAACCATTTGACCCCGTAAGAAGGGCGACATTTGCTGCTGCAGTTGCTGCTGCTGCTGTTGCAGCAGCAGCAGCAGCAGCAGCAGCAGCAGCAGCAACTGCTGCTGCTGCCCGTGCTGCTGTATATGCGTGGTTTATTGTTGTGGTTTGTATTGCTGATGTTCGTTTCATAGCATTCTTGCTGCTGCTGCTGCTGCTGCTGCCCCCGAACCAACCCCTCCACCCACCGCCGCTTCCTTTGCTGCTGCTGCTGCTGCTGCTGCTGTTAGGCTGTTGCACGAGACTTAGTGAAGGGATTAAAAGCAGCGGGAGGCCCCAAAATTCTCAGCGCAGAGTTTACAAAGTTTGTGGAGGCCCTTGCAGAAGGAAGGCTTAAGCTCGAGAATGGACAGGTAAACCCTAAACCCTAAACCCTAAACCCTAAACCCTAAACCCTAAACCCCCGTCTCGCAGCCGCATATTCGAAACCCTCTTTTACCTGCGTTCGTAAAGAGCTGTGAAGGAGTACGTGCAGTTGCATCATAATAGACAACAGACGGCATGGGGTTTAGGGTTTAGGGTTTAGGGTTTAGGGCTTGCGTTTCAGCGGGTGTCTCGCGAGAGTTTGCCTTTGGACGATAAGGGTTTAGGGTTTAGGGTTTAGGGTTTGCATGTCAGCCGGCATCTCGCGAGGGTTTGCCTGTGAACGTTATAAAGCGCACATAAGGGTTTAGGGTTTAGGGTTTGCGTTTCAGCTGCTGGTATCTCGCGAGGGTTTGCCTGTGGAGGATAAGGGTTTAGGGTTTAGGGTTTAGGGTTTGTGTTTCAGCTGGTTTCTCGCGAGGGTTTACCCGTGGACTGGGATACTGATTTAGCGCGACAAGAGTTAGAGAGAACAACAACAATTAAAAATAATAAAACAGCAGCAGATGCAGCAGCAGGGTTTGAGGGGTCTTTACGTGAGCTCGAGGAGACCTGGAAAAGGGCCCATGAAAACGTAAACCCGAAACCCTAAACCCTAAACCCTAAACCCTTGTGGGGCTCAAACCCTAAACTCTAGTTTGTAACGGACCTTAAACCCTAAAGAAATACCTGCATTAACAACCATTATAAACCCTAAATCGCAACAAACCCTAAACCCTAAACCCTAATTCACTGCAAACCCTAAACCCTAATTCAAAACGGAAGCAAAGCCCTTGTAAATAACAGAAGTTAATGAACAACAAACCCTAAACCCTAATAAACATAAAGAGGAACTGCACTCCAACAAAGCGCAGCAAACCCTAATCAACATGCAAAGCTAAACCCTAATAAGCAACAAACCCTAAACCCTAACAAGCAACAAACCCTAAACCCTAATTAGCATTAAATCCGAACACAACACGAGGCCCCAACCGTACCCTTTCTACTTTGAAAATTCTTATATCAGCTAAACCCTAGCGTTTACCGTAAGCAGGTTAGGGTTTAGGGTTTAGGGTTTAGGGTTTAGGGTTTAGGGTTTAGGGTTTAGGGTTTTGCATTCAGGGAGAGATTGACACTGAAGAACTGATGCTGTTTCAATCGATCTTTAAATCCGAAGAAATGGAGGGGATTCTTTCAAAGGATATACAAGAGCACATGGGTAAACCCTAAACCCTAATTGTAGGGTTTTGTTGTTACCATCTAGGGTTTAGGGTTTAGGGTTTAGGGTTTAGAGTTCGGGGTTTGTGTTTGCAGAAGAAGTCTTTCAGCCCTCTGTGGAGCCGTCATTGGGCGTCGCTGAGGACCTTGATGAACGTACGTTTGCGTATTTAGGGTTTAGGGTTTAGGGTTTATGGTTTAGGGTTTAGGGTTTAGGGTTTGAGTTGGTGTTTGTGGTGTGCAGAGGACGCAAACTCTCCGCTGTACTTCCACCCTAATAACCCTTATTTAAAAAACCCTGCAGGCTTATTAACAGCAAACAATTTATTAAGTAAAGGACAGCTTCAAGAAGCTATCTTGGTGCTGGAGGCAGAGGTGCAGATACACCCCAACAGCAGCGAAGGCTGGAGGCTCTTAGGCCAGTGCCACGCGGACAATGAACAAGTAAACCCTAAACCCTAATAAACCCTAATAAACCCTAATAAACCCTAAACCCTTCGCGAGACCCAATAGAAGAACGGGGACGGGGGGAAGCGGCGAGGTTCGAGGGACCACCCATGTTTTAGGGTTTAGGGTTTAGGGTTTAGGGTTTAGGGTTTGCTCAGGACGTGGAGGCAATCCATTGTTTGAAGAAAGGCCACAGTGTTGACCCGTACAACCTCGACAGGTGAGCTCTAAACCCTAAACCCTAAACAGCCTCAAACCCTAAACCCTCTGCTGCACTCTCGCGCTGTTTTTAGTGGTTTACAAGAAGAAAAACTCCGAGGCTTAGAGTTGGGCTAAGGGTTCAGGGTTTAGGGTTTAGGGTTTAGGGTGAGAAACCAGCCGCCTATCGCTTAGAGTTTATAAGGGTTTAGGGTTTAGGATACACCACCTCTTGCATACGTTTTAGGGTTTAGGGTTTATTAAGGTTTGCAGCTGACAGCCCATTAGGGTTTAGGGTTTAGGGTTTAGGGTTTAGGGTTTAGGGTTTAGGGTTTGTGGCGCAGTCTGATGGCTTTGGGGGTTTCTCTAACGAACGAGTTAGACATCGCTCAGGCTCTTCTTTATTTGCGCACTTGGCTGGCGAACCATGATGATTTTCAGCATCTTCCCGGGCTCTCTGTAAACCCTAAACCCTAAACCCTAAAACCTAAACCCTCGATTGTAAACCCTACTCTACATAGTTCTGTCTCTCTCATCCGTCAGCACCTCTCTCTCGTCTTCTACCTCCTCATGTCTCTTGCAGATGCTACGGTTTAGTATTTAGGGTTTAGGGTTTAGGGTTTAGGGTTTAGGGTTTGTGTTTAGGAGCGTGCCCCGGAGGATTTTAATGCCTTGAAGGTAGAGTTAGTGTCTCTGTTTGAAGCAGCACTTAGAGAGCCTCACGAAGCAGCAGGGCAGCTGCATGCAGCTTTAGGGGTTTTGTATAATATTGACAGAGTTTATGATAAGGCCCTTCACCACTTCACCGAGGCGCTCAAATATACGTACGCCAAGGGTTTAGGGTTTAGGGTTTAGGGTTTAGGGTTTGGGGTTGCGTGGGTTGAGCGTGGTGTATTTTTAGGGTTTAGGGTTTAGGGTTTATTGTTTATTCTTTAGGGTTTAGGGTTTATGGTTTGCTCGTTGTTTCGGCTTTTCCCCCTGTTGCGTG